CAGCAATAAATCAGGTGGAACAGCAGTTATCGTCCTGTCCTGTTCTTTCATCACATTTTTGCAGGCCTGCAGAAACAAAGCATGTGCTCTTTACCCATTTTGCCTTACGGGGTTCACGTCAATCTAACGATTTGCGGCACTGTCGTGACTCTTTGGTCATAGTTACAGGAAGCGGAATTTCTGTTTTTTTTTCTAGGAACAGGCCAAAATCAATGCGCGCGCGGACGTCATCCATAAAATTTACTTGGTGTGGCCTTACAGTGATTCCACAAGAACCCAAACATCCCGACGGACTGCCAGTTTGTAGAAGACCCCTGCATCGTGATCAGAGAGACACGGCACTCATAACAAGGCCTGAGTGGGGACCGAGAGAAGGAGAGGTGAGTCATATGCTCTGCAAAATATATATTTTCCAGGTGACTTTTCGAACTCGCTAGTCCGGTACGGTGCAAGGACGCCAACTTTCTGCTCGACCAACTTCTGCTTTGTGAGGTATAGTAGTACAGTATGTACTCCAACCACTGTAGTATAACCACTTTTCAAGGTGTCAATCAAAGATCTAGATTATTCCGCTCTCTCTTCCGATATTGTCTACATATTTTACATTTTCTACAAATCTGACAATACAATCTGTAGGCACATTATATTGCTAGAAACAGCTATTCTCTGGCATAATGATATTTTCTGGCCTTCTTTTCTTGGCGGAATTGTAGCCTTTTGGCCTGGGGTTGTCTGTTGCATACAAAAATCGTAAAACAAACTCCGGTCCGAGACCTTACTTGTCTTCGGGACGTGTAGCATTCTCCAACATGGCAGACATCTTCAACTTCCCCGTGTATACCCGTGCGGTGGTCCGCCAGATCTCCAGCAAACTAAACGAAGCGACCCGTATGGAAGGTTTTGACGAGATTGCTGATGTCGACAAGGCAAAGGAAGAGCATGCTTGTTTGGTCCAAGCGCTGAAAGATTTAGGGTTGGAGGTGACAGTTCTCCCTGCCGAAGATTCCATGCCGGACTGTGCCTTCGTGGAGGATTGCTGTGTCGTGCTGGGGAATAGAGCGCTGGTGACAAGGCCCGCCGATGATTGTAGGCGGCTGGAGGTGAGTTTAGCGAGGGGTGTGTTGTGTCCCGAACCGTGCCTTGGTGCAAATTTTGCTGTAATCACCTTATTTTTGACGTCGCACATTTGACCAGGTCGTATGAAGTACACACTTTTATTCTGTGCATCTGGTCTGAGATGTTATAAATTTGTCCCGGTTCTCTGCCGGCAACCGGAGGGGTACTTCTCGGTGTCCTCACGGTTAGGTCACGGTGTTTTTTTTTCTCTGAGCCGAAGTAGATTTTAAGTCAGAACTACATTCCTCTCGGGTCCCGGCCGTACATAATACATAAAACATAATGATCAATTTTTTTTACATTTTACATGTATATTTTGGAACGCCCATTTACTGTTTTATTATTTGTTGATTACCATTGATTGTATTCTCTTTTGTCAGTGGTGATCCTGAGACTAGAATTAGCAGTTAATTTCTCAATAGGTCTCGTGCTTTTCTATTTTGGTTCATTAAAAGGCTAAAGCTAAGCCTGACTCTAACACCAAGCCGAACATCGACCCCAACCCAAACCCCAAGCCTAACCCCAACCCCGACCCAACCCTAACCTTTTAACCCCAACCCCTACCCCTAAAAATACAGAGATGTTTCCCTGCCCTGCCAGGTTGACAGTATAGAGTGTTGCATGACTGACCTTGGACTTGAAGTACACAGGATCGCTGCTGACTCTGAGGCCACCCTTGAAGGCGGTGACGTCATCTTCACAGGTAAGGCCATAGCAAGTAATATTTTTAAACGTTTGGGGTTCCAAGACGAATGAACCTTTCACCAACTTTCATGATGTACATTTTATGATTTTCACATATTCAGACAATCAAATTTTCACGGTTTTAGCCACAAAAGTCAAAATCACATAAATGACGTAAAAATGACTTTATATAAGGTCATAATTACAACAAAGTTGTCTTTATTTTTTTTAAATTTTACTAGTACACCTACAGTATATACGGGGTTGTTGAGTTAACCCCCTCCCCCTTCAGTTCCAGCCCCAAAAAAGCCCGGTCTTTAATAGGGTTAAAACGTTCGAGAACCAAGGAAATAAATTTGTGTGACTAGATGTTTTTTATTTTGTTTTTGAGTAACCCGAAGAACGAAATGTAGATTTTATTTGGTATGAAATGTAGAAAATACTTTTTTTTTTACTTTTCTTTAGGCACAGAGTTTTTCGTGGGAGAGTCAACACAGTCAAACAAGGCTGGCCACAAAATCCTGGCCGAAACCTTCCCAGAATACCCTGTTCACTCCATCTCCGTACATCCGCCGGAAGTTCACCTGAAAGGCTTTGCAGCCATGGCTGCGCCTGGAATCATCGCATTAGTGGACGGCGAAAATGGAAGAAATGGTTGGAAGGTATGGACGATGGGGAGATATAAACTTCTTGTCACTTTGAGTCTCAAGGACGGTTTTACACATTCAATAATTAAGCATTGGTGTTGTTACGAAACTCTATATATGCTGAAAATATACTAATACAAGCAAAGCTACCTGTCCTGTACCTAATTGTCTATCAGGGCCATGGGATAGACAGTAGTCTATAGGTCTCTCGCAATAGGAGTGTGTGTGTGTGTCTGTGTGTGTGTCTGTCTGTGTGTCTGTCTGTGTGTATGTCTGTGTGTGCCCGCCTCTCTCTCTCTCTCTCTCTGTGTGTGTGTGATTCCTGATGGCCCTTAGGTTACTAATATATTGTAATATACACGATTGGGTTCAGTCTGTCCCAGAGGGTGATCTAGTAGCGCTCTCTAGAACTGTTTTTTGTAACATGATTTTGTAACAACATTGTAACATTTTTGTTTTTGTAACATGACATCCTTTTGTAACATGACAGCTGCTATTGTTTCCCTCGTACAATAAAGAAAGACTTGTATACACAGTCACCATCACGCACGTTTGAAATGTTTCATACGGGTCTGATTTCTCTGAATTCTTGTGGAAATTTGTATTGCTTATCTTTTGCAGGAGATGTGTGAAAAGAGTAACTACAGGTACAAAGCCATATGGCTGCCAGAGGACTGCGCGGAGAACTGTATATATGTTAACGGGTCCATCATCCACGGTCCTGAGCGCCAGTTCCCTAAAAGCTACAAGGTATAAAGCCGATTATTACCTCCGGGAGAGGATATATCCTTCCGCGGAAGGATTTTGTGGGAGATGTAAATTTTCACGTTCGCAGCTGTTTCTCGCGTTTGGGTGGACGGATTGTTTTGGGACTCGGTATATGATTTGCTATTGGGCTGTAGATGATGCACGTTCTTTTGTTTTTATTTCTGCTAATTTATAATCTCATCTATTATTCAACATTGTGTTATTATATTTATGTTTATTGTGTACTATTATATAACTTGGGTTAGACTAGGCTTGCGCTCGCAGGACGAAAGTATTGTTTTTGGTGGCACTAATCTATGCTTGTTTGTGTGGTTTCAATGTGGATGGGCGAAGACTACGTTTCACATTCTCTAGAATTGTTAAATTTTCTTCTAGTTTCTTGTTCTTTATTTGTTTTGCATGATCACATCATTTATTGCATTTTTCAGTCTTGTCTTGTGCACACATATTCCTTTTGCAAATTATGTTACGTGCTTCTTTCAGCCACTACAGTTTTCATCACTTAATTTGAACAGTCAAATTTAAACTTCCAATTTAATTCCAAACTAATTCCATATCTTACATCTAGATAGGCTAATGTTGTAAATTATAAGTAAAAACAATGCATGAAATATCTATACTAGTATGTAGCAGCCATCGAGAACCCCTTGGAGATTAACCCAATTCTGTTGAATTCTAGCTCCGGCTTCAGTAGCCAGATTTCTGCAGAATCCTGGCTATTGTTAGAATTATGGCTGCAGTTCCAGAATTCTGCAGAATTAGATTAATCCCCAAGGAGTCTTCGATGGCTATTCCGTATTTCTTACATCGTTTTACCTATAGTTTACGATATTAGCCAATCTAGATGTAAGTTTGCTGAAGTATAGGAATTGTTTGGGAATTAAACTGGAAGTCCAGAATTATACTAGAGGCTGTTGGTAATGTATTCATTAAGGGAAATGTAGTAAAGGTGTCAGATTTAATTGCAAATGTAGCAATGTCGTATTGACCTGTTGATACAATGCACGGGAACCATTCTTAAAACATGCGTTACGGTATGTGGGGTCGTGTGGCGTAAAGGCAGAGTGCTTGATTCGGAACCAAGAGGTCCCGGGTTTGAGTCCTGAAATGTAACCGATCTTGTGCCCTTGGGAAAGGCACTTTACCTTGTATTTGTCCCCTGCGTTGGTGGCGGTATGAACTAAGTTGATATATTAAACTTGAGCGCGCCGTCACCATGCATATGTCTGATCATGAAATGTTGGCATATGAAAAAATGCGTATGTAGGTTTTTTTGTTTTTCACTCAGTCTTGCTTTGAGGTTTGCCGAAAGATAATATTTTTTGTGTGTTTTGTTAAATTTTTCTTTTTATCTTGACGCTACAGATATTAACTGAAGCCCTGGCCGGCTACCCACGAATCGAAGTGTCGACGGAAGAGGTGTATAAGATATGCGCCGCGCTGACCTGCCAGTGTCTGCTGTTCTAGTGGCGTGTTTCCGTCTCGTATTAAAAGTTTAAGCCCCTGTCACACATTCACGAATTAGGCCACCCTATGCTTAAATATCCTCAGAAGCAACCCTTCTTTGTCTTTTGCGAACACTTGTTAGGACACAAATTGAATGAGGTGACACAGTGTAACAAGCAAGAAGTCTTTTATTGCCTTCGTTTTGGCACTGTTTGGCAGATTATGCACGATAAATTTTGAAGGCATTGTCAGAGGTTCACGATTTTTGGCAGGCAGGTTGTCTTAGTAATGGGCATTGTCAAGGCCAAAAATGGGCTTCGTGGGGGCTTTTTATGTGACTGGAGCTGACCTTTTGTGTTTGCGTTTTTTGTTGTACTCCAAATAACTCGGGAATCCTTGAACGGTTGTCTATGATTTTTAGTTGGCAAGTTACCGTTGAGAATGCGAAGGTCAAGTTCGGAAATGGGCCTGATGGGGGTTCTTACGTCATTGAATTTGACATTTTGTGTTGTTCGTTATTGTTGTTAGCAGGATAATTCGTGAAGTCGAAAATAGATGTTCACGATTTTTTGTGAGCAAGTTACCGTTGACGATAGGAAGATGAAGTTCGGAAATGGGCATCGTGGGAGGACCGTGCGTTACTGTAGTGGGCTTTTGGTGATTGTTTGTTAGCTTTTAAGTAGTTGAAGTTGTGACTCACCTTACCAGACTCAGGCTTGGTTTCAGCCAGCTGAACTACCACCTATTCCAACATCACTGTATCACTAGTCCCGAGTGCAAATGTGGGCATCCAAATGAGAGACCAGATCACTATTTATTACACTGCAAAATTTATGATATTGAAAGGACCAAAATGTTGTTATCTATATCTTGCCTTCATCTTGAAAACATGCTTCCTTCCGACCCACTCAACGCAAACGACGCCACATTATGTACTTTACTTCTTACAGGCAGCCCCTCCCTCCCATATCCTACAAACTGCCGTATCTTTGATATTGTGTTTAACTATATCCACCACTCTGGAAGATTTGACCAATCTCATTAATGTTATGATATAGGTATTGGTACGCCAGCCACTTTTGTTTTATGTTTATGTTATACTTTATGTCATCTTTATGTTAACATTTGTATTATGTTTTATGATCAGCGGATTCACATAAGCACAATAAGTGCTTCCTATCCAATGCTCAAAAACCCATGTGAATAAAATAAAATAAATAAGTTGTAGAACAGGGATTTTTTGCAATTTTTTTGTGTGAATAGGTTAACCCTACCTAGACGGGGGGGGGGGCTAAAAGTGCCCGCGGCAACTTTGATGTCACCTAGCGTCTGACCGGCTAGCCGTAGAGCGGCCAAACTTGGTGACTTTTTCCTAAAATATTGTTGGCAACAATTCTTTATCAGTGGAATAAAATCATAATTTTTTGTGTTGCCATGGCAACGGGTTTCTGACAGGCATTTTTTTGCTAAATTTAGTACTTTTGTTTCAACAATAGAATTTTATGGGTTTTATGTCAAGTTACTCATGGTTTCTAATATTAATAACATCCCATATAATTTTATGTAAATTTATCATTAAATATGCATAATTTATGCTAATTTGATGACGTCATTGGCCAAAATCCAAGATGGCGGACCATATCATTAGAACAGGTATATATAGGTTATTTTCATTAAAATTTCATCAACACTTCCATTTCTTTTTCAAAAAAGATTTAAATGAAGGTCTTTAGTATGTTTACAATGTATTTTAAGCTTTATCATGAAAAGAACTATTTTTTGAAAATTCAAGATTCATGATCCAAGATGGCGGATATCTTAAATATGCATGACGTCATTTTATGACGTCACCGGTGTTGCTATGGGCAACATAAGACTTAGTACACCATAATATTCTGTCATAAACACTTTTGGTACAGTTATGTTGAATACCATTTAGTTTTCAGGGAAAAACCTATTTAGACGGTTTTGGCCAATAAAATCACATTAATGACGTCATAATGACGCCATATTACGTCATAACGACATAAAAATTGTAGATATGATAAATTTTCACTAGTACACCATT